CAAACCGTTGAGAGCCAGCCCGGATAGCCTTGCGGTTAAGGTGTTCGATTCACAATCGTTCACCCCGGGTTCGAGTCCCCGTGGGGGCTCGTTGGATGTGCACTGCTGATGATTCCCAACAAGGATGAAACAGCTGTACAGTGCTTCCATGGTTTTCAATGGTGACTTGAGTGTTCAGGGTGCATGATGAATCATATTATATACAAATCTAATCTCCTACTACTCAATTGCATGCATAGTAACCAAGCTCTGTAGGTTGTTCATAACGGAATGCCTTCGTTGTACTTAGGCCCCTACAGAGAAGTCATCCATCATAGGAGTCGATCGCTGTGTGTGAAGCGGGTTGTTACCGTTCAAAAGCCAGTGACGGAAGGGTGCTATATCATTTAGTGTAGATGTTCAACAAACCGTTGAGAGCCAGCCCGGATAGCCTTGCGGTTAAGGTGTTCGATTCACAATCGTTCACCCCGAGTTCGAGTCTTCGTGGGGGCTCGTTGGATGTGCACTGCTGATGATTCCCAACAAGGATGAAACAGCTGTACAGTGCTTCCATGGTTTTCAATGGTGAGTTGAGCGTTCAGGGTGCATGATGAATCATATTATATACAAATCTAATCTCCTACTACTCAATTGCATGCATAGTAACGAAGCTCTGTAGGTTGTTCATAACGGAATGCCTTCGTTGTACTTAGGCCCCTACAGAGAAGTCATCCATCATAGGAGTCGATCGCTGTGTGGGAAGCGGGTTGTTACCGTTCAAAAGCCAGTGACGGAAGGGTGCTATATCATGTAGTGTAGATGTTCAACAAACCGTTGCGAGCCATCCCGGATAGCCTTGCGGTTAAGGTGTTCGATTCACAATCGTTCACCTCGGGTTCGAGTCCCCGTGGGGGCTCGGTGGATCTGCATTGCTGATGATTCCCAACAAGGATGAAACAGCTGTACAGTGCTTCCATGGTTTTCAATGGTGACTTGAGCGTTCAGGGTGCATGATGAATCATATTATATACAAATCTAATCTCCTACTACTCAATTGCATGCATAGTAACCAAGCTCTGTAGGTTGTTCATAACGGAATGCCTTCGTTGTACTTAGGCCCCTACAGAGAAGTCATCCATCATAGGAGTCGATCGCTGTGTGGGAAGCGGGTTGTTACCGTTCAAAAGCCAGTGACGGAAGGGTGCTATATCATTTAGTGTAGATGTTCAACAAACCGTTGAGAGCCATCCCGGATAGCCTTGCGGTTAAGGTGTTCGATTCACAATCGTTCACCCCGAGTTCGAGTCTTCGTGGGGGCTCGTTGGATGTGCACTGCTGATGATTCCCAACAAGGATGAAACAGCTGTACAGTGCTTCCATGGTTTTCAATGGTGAGTTGAGCGTGCAGGGTGCATGATGAATCATATTATATACAAATCTAATCTCCTACTACTCAATTGCATGCATAGTAACGAAGCTCTGTAGGTTGTTCATAACGGAATGCCTTCGTTGTACTTAGGCCCCTACAGAGAAGTCATCCATCATAGGAGTCGATCGCTGTGTGGGAAGCGGGTTGTTACCGTTCAAAAGCCAGTGACGGAAGGGTGCTATATCATGTAGTGTAGATGTTCAACAAACCGTTGAGAGCCATCCCGGATAGCCTTGCGGTTAAGGTGTTCGATTCACAATCGTTCACCTCGGGTTCGAGTCCCCGTGGGGGCTCGGTGGATCTGCATTGCTGATGATTCCCAACAAGGATGAAACAGCTGTACAGTGCTTCCATGGTTTTCAATGGTGAGTTGAGCGTTCAGGGTGCATGATGAATCATATTATATACAAATCTAATCTCCTACTACTCAATTGCATGCATAGTAACCAAGCTCTGTAGGTTGTTCATAACGGAATGCCTTCGTTGTACTTAGGCCCCTACAGAGAAGTCATCCATCATAGGAGTCGATCGCTGTGTGGGAAGCGGGTTGTTACCGTTCAAAAGCCAGTGACGGAAGGGTGCTATATCATGTAGTGTAGATGTTCAACAAACCTTTGAGAGCCATCCCGGATAGACTTGCGGTTAAAGTGTTCGATTCACAATCGTTCACTCCGGGTTCGAGTCCCCGTGGGGGCTCGTTGGATGTGCACTGCTGATGATTCCCAACAAGGATGAAACAGCTGTACAGTGCTTCCATGGTTTTCAATGGTGACTTGAGTGTTCAGGGTGCATGATGAATCATATTATATACAAATCTAATCTCCTACTACTCAATTGCAAATAGTAACCAAGCTCTGTAGGTTGTTCATAACGGAATGCCTTCGTTGTACTTAGGCCCCTACAGAGAAGTCATCCATCATAGGAGTCGATCGCTGTGTGGGAAGCGGGTTGTTACCGTTCAAAAGCCAGTGACGGAAGGGTGCTATATCATGTAGTGTAGATGTTCAACAAACCGTTGAGAGCCAGCCCGGATAGCCTTGCGGTTAAGGTGTTCGATTCACAATCGTTCACCCCGAGTTCGAGTCTTCGTGGGGGCTCGTTGGATGTGCACTGCTGATGATTCCCAACAAGGATGAAACAGCTGTACAGTGCTTCCATGGTTTTCAATGGTGACTTGAGTGTTCAGGGTGCATGATGAATCATATTATATACAAATCTAATCTCCTACTACTCAATTGCATGCATAGTAACCAAGCTCTGTAGGTTGTTCATAACGGAATGCCTTCGTTGTACTTAGGCCCCTACAGAGAAGTCATCCATCATAGGAGTCGATCGCTGTGTGGGAAGCGGGTTGTTACCGTTCAAAAGCCAGTGACGGAAGGGTGCTATATCATTTAGTGTAGATGTTCAACAAACCGTTGAGAGCCATCCCGGATAGCCTTGCGGTTAAGGTGTTCGATTCACAATCGTTCACCCCGAGTTCGAGTCTTCGTGGGGGCTCGTTGGATGTGCACTGCTGATGATTCCCAACAAGGATGAAACAGCTGTACAGTGCTTCCATGGTTTTCAATGGTGAGTTGAGCGTGCAGGGTGCATGATCAATCATATTATATACAAATCTAATCTCCTACTACTCAATTGCATGCATAGTAACCAAGCTCTGTAGGTTGTTCATAACGGAATGCCTTCGTTGTACTTAGGCCCCTACAGAGAAGTCATCCATCATAGGAGTCGATCGCTGTGTGGGAAGCGGGTTGTTACCGTTCAAAAGCCAGTGACGGAAGGGTGCTATATCATGTAGTGTAGATGTTCAACAAACCGTTGCGAGCCATCCCGGATAGCCTTGCGGTTAAGGTGTTCGATTCACAATCGTTCACCTCGGGTTCGAGTCCCCGTGGGGGCTCGGTGGATCTGCATTGCTGATGATTCCCAACAAGGATGAAACAGCTGTACAGTGCTTCCATGGTTTTCAATGGTGAGTTGAGCGTTCAGGGTGCATGATGAATCATATTATATACAAATCTAATCTCCTACTACTCAATTGCAAATAGTAACCAAGCTCTGTAGGTTGTTCATAACGGAATGCCTTCGTTGTACTTAGGCCCCTACAGAGAAGTCATCCATCATAGGAGTCGATCGCTGTGTGGGAAGCGGGTTGTTACCGTTCAAAAGCCAGTGACGGAAGGGTGCTATATCATGTAGTGTAGATGTTCAACAAACCTTTGAGAGCCATCCCGGATAGACTTGCGGTTAAAGTGTTCGATTCACAATCGTTCACTCCGGGTTCGAGTCCCCGTGGGGGCTCGGTGGATGTGTACTGCTGATGATTCCCAACAAGGATGAAACAGCTGTACAGTGCTTCCATGGTTTTCAATGGTGAGTTGAGCGTTCAGGGTGCATGATCAATCATATTATATACAAATCTAATCTCCTACTACTCAATTGCATGCATAGTAACCAAGCTCTGTAGGTTGTTCATAACGGAATGCCTTCGTTGTACTTAGGCCCCTACAGAGAAGTCATCCATCATAGGAGTCGATCGCTGTGTGGGAAGCGGGTTGTTACCGTTCAAAAGCCAGTGACGGAAGGGTGCTATATCATGTAGTGTAGATGTTCAACAAACCGTTGAGAGCCATCCCGGATAGCCTTGCGGTTAAGGTGTTCGATTCACAATCGTTCACCCCGGGTTCGAGTCCCCGTGGGGGCTCGGTGGATGTGCACTGCTGATGATTCCCAACAAGGATGAAACAGCTGTACAGTGCTTCCATGGTTTTCAATGGTGAGTTGAGCGTTCAGGGTGCATGATGAATCATATTATATACAAATCTAATCTCCTACTACTCAATTGCATGCATAGTAACGAAGCTCTGTAGGTTGTTCATAACGGAATGCCTTCGTTGTACTTAGGCCCCTACAGAGAAGTCATCCATCATAGGAGTCGATCGCTGTGTGGGAAGCGGGTTGTTACCGTTGTAGGTACCTGTACATTTCCGATTTTTTCCATGATCTTCAACGTCCCTTGGTGCGACACTCCTTTGTTGTACCGACGTTTTAATGTAAAAAACACACACCTTTTGGTCGTCACCACCGCGCAATACAAAAGGCTGTAAATAAACCTTTAATTCTGGCACGGTCTCATCTTCTGGTTTGGAGTGTCTTGGAATCATATCGGTCGGAACTAACTGTGTGAAACAAAACATTTTAGAAGCTTCAACGGCGTTTCTTGGCACTTCGCTCATTACCATCCTGTTCTGTCCAACGGATGGCTGTCAGACCGAACTGAACTGAAGACATTGGCGGATATTGGCTCTTTGACGCTCATTTCCTGATCACAAGAACACTGAACAACTGTGAGTTTGAGTCACACCTATTGTTTCATTTTTATTCTTGATGTACATACCCTTTTGGCCTTTTTATCACCGCACGCTCCTCCGCCCATCTTAGTTTGCTAGTGTCGTCTTAGATATTGTTGACAATAATTTAGTGTACCACATAGACAGAGTAGTACGCTACAAAATTGGTGAGCCCAGGTTGTTTTTCCATCATTTGACACTAGCTTCATTCTTTTGGTCCAAGTTCCACACCATTCACCATGTCTGACAGCGAATCTATTGACATCCACGCGGTTGCTCTCAAACTGCCCGTTTTTGCCCCGACCAACCCTCGAGTGTGGTTTCGACAGATAGAAGCCGTATTTGCCACTCGACGTATAACCAGCGAGCGCGTGAAGTACTCTCACGTTGTCCAAGCACTTCCCTTTGACATCGCTGTTGACGTGGAAGATCTCCTCGATCCCATTCCACCAGAAGCTCCTTACACGAAGCTTAAGGAAGCAGTCATTCAGCGTACCGGAAAATCAGCCGGAAAAATGCTCCGTGAACTGTTCACGTCGGTGGAGCTCGGAGACCAAACTCCGTCCCAGCTTATGCGCCACATGCGGTCGCTACTGGCTGGACGGCAAATGGACGACGCCATTTTCAGGGAGATATGGGTTGATAAACTACCTCTCCCGATGCAGCAGGTCCTATCAATGCTGGAACCCACTACTCCACTTGACAAAGTTGCACAGCACGCCGACAGAATAATGGAATGCTACCCGGCTGCTAGACCTTGCGTTCACATGACATCACCCTCCGAAACCACTCTGACGCACGAATCCCCTTCGACATTACCAGTTCCTGCCCCAGATCGCCGTGGTCACGTTTCTCGCAGTCCTGATTCCCCATCCCATCACTCGCATATCGATAAGGACATTACGGACCTAAAAGAAACCGTTCGCATGTTGTGCAATCAGGTCAGTGCAATGTGCAGCGCATTTACTACTCATCGATCTGTGTCCACCGAAGTACCTCATCGACCTAGATCACGGTCCAGAAACCGCCGATCACAAACGTGGTGTTGGTACCACCGCACTTTCGGCTCCAAGGCACGCCGCTGCGATCCTCCATGTTCATTCCGCACTTACACTCCACAGTCAAACGACCAGGCCAGCCAGTAACGGCGACGACTTCGGCTGGCCCCCCACGCAAAAGTCGCCTGTTTTATATCGTTGACCGATCCAGTGGTCTTCGATTCCTCATTGATACCGGCGCCGAGATCAGTGTAATCCCCCCACCCAAACATCACAGCCTCAAACCATCTCACTTTACACTGCAAGCAGCAAACACAACAACTATTGCTACATTCGGCCAACGGTCCATCACTCTTGATTTAGGCCTCCGACGCTCTTTTCAATGGGTTTTCATCCAGGCAGATGTCCAGACTCCCATTATTGGCGCGGATTTCCTCTCACACTTTGGCCTAACAGTGGACCTCAAAAATCGCAAGCTGGTAGACACCACAACCAAGCTTTGTGCAGTCGGCATTGGTAAATGCACCAACTCTCTGGGTATTCGGCTGGCGATCCCGCAATCGCCGTTTGCTGACATTTTGAAGGAGTTTCCATCCCTCACTAAACCGTGTCAGTTCACCGACCCAGTCTCTCATGCTGTGCAGCACCACATCGCCACAAAAGGCCAACCTGTCCACTTTCAACCACGACGACTCAACGCCGACAAACTCCGTATCGCACGCCTTGAATTCGAACATATGATGAATCTTGGCATCATTCGACCGTCTTCAAGCCCATGGGCCTCGCCTTTGCACATGGTTCCAAAATCATTTGGTGATTGGAGACCCTGTGGAGACTACCGTGCTCTCAACAACGTCACCGTCCCCGACAGGTACCCGATCCCACACATTCATGATTTTGCACAGAATCTCTCTGGGAAGACAATCTTTTCCAAGGTTGACCTCGTAAAGGCATATCACCAAATCCCCGTGGCCGAAGAAGACATTCCCAAGACAGCCATCACCACGCCTTTTGGCCTGTTCGAGTTCATTCGCATGCCATTTGGATTGAGAAACGCTGCCCAGACGTTCCAACGATTCGTCGATGAAGTGCTTCGAGGTCTACCCTTCGCGTTTGGCTACATCGACGACATATTAATTGCCAGCGCCTCTCCATCGGAGCATGCCAGCCACTTGCGCCAACTCTTTCAACGTTTCCAACAATACGGACTTCAGCTGAACCCTAGTAAATGCGTGTTCGGTGTTCCGTCCCTCGACTTCCTCGGGCACCATATCGATCAAAAAGGTTTGACACCCCTCCCAGATAAGGTGCGCAGCATCCTCTCATTTCCTGCCCCTCAAACGATCACACAGTTACGACGTTTCTTGGGAATTTTGAACTACTACCGTCGCTTCATTCCCCATTGTGCGACCATCGTTTCACCTTTAACCGATCTTCTCAAGTCCAACGTCAAGACGATCGATTTCACTCCCGAGGCTGAGACAGCTTTCGCAGAAGCCAAAAAAGCTCTCGCGGATGCCACCATGCTGCACCATCCACATTCAGATCCAAATACTGAGTTAGTCCTAACGACTGATGCATCAAATACTGCAGTCGGTGCAGTGCTTCACCAAATAGTGGACAACCAATTACAGCCCTTAGCGTTCTTCTCGCAAAAACTCCAGGCGGCACAGACAAAATACAGCACATTTTCTCGCGAACTCCTAGCCATTTACTTGTCTATCCGTCATTTCCGCCACCTTTTGGAAGGACGACAATTTCGTGTGCACACTGACCACAAACCCCTGACACACGCACTTCATGCCAAGCCTGACCGACATTCACCCAGAGATATCCGCTATTTGGATTATATTTCCCAGTTCACAACAGACATCCGCTACGTGCATGGAGTTGATAATGTTGTGGCTGATGCATTATCCAGACCTGACATCAACACGGTGCAGACTAAATTCGATCTTACGGAACTGGCAAACCTCCAGCGTGATGATCCATCTTTGCTCGAACTGCGCACATCCTCCACACTCCAGCTCAAGGATTCTCCCCTACCTTTAGCCGATGGCACAGTCCTATGTGACTGGTCTACAGGTAACCCCCGTCCTATCGTTCCAACTTGCTACAGGAAGATCGTTTTCGATCATTTTCATTCTCGTTCCCATCCTGGTATCCGTGCATCTCGCAAACTCATTTCTGCCAGATTTGTTTGGCCCAATATGAATTCTGACATTGCATTATGGACTAAACAGTGTTTACAATGTCAGAGAAACAAAGTCCACTGCCACACTTTTTCTCCGCCCAGTACGTTCACCGTTCCCGACGTCCGTTTCACACATATTCACGTCGATCTTGTTGGTCCACTACCACCATCAAATGGACATACCCACTTATTAACCGTTGTTGATCGTTTCACACGCTGGCCAGTGGCAGTACCCATTTCCGACACCTCGGCAGAAAATATTGCGAAAGTACTACTCCAGCACTGGATTGCTACATTTGGTGTACCGTCTACCGTCACCACAGACCGTGGCAGCCAATTCCAATCGACTTTGTTTCGTGAGTTCACTAAACTGCTTGGCTGTAAACACATCACAACAACTGCATACCATCCTTCGTCCAATGGCATGGTAGAGCGCCTACACCGTCAACTTAAAGCAGCACTGATATCACAGCCAAACCCCAATAACTGGAGCGACAACCTGCCACTAGTTCTCTTAGGTCTGCGGTCATCAGTCAAAGACGACCTCCACAGCACGTCGGCTGAGCTCGTTTTCGGTACCACCATATGCCTTCCAGGTGAGTATGTTCAACCTAGCACCGATGCCAGTCCTAACCCATCCCAATTTGTCCAACAACTCAAAGACCGTATGTCACATCTACGTCCAACACCCACTCGCTTGTCATCCACACACGTTTTTGTACACAATGATCTACATACGTCACCTTTCGTTTTTATTCGTAACGATGCTGTTCGCAAACCACTCACACCACCGTATGATGGTCCATTTAAAGTGCTTAGTCGCACAGACAAATATTTCGTGGTTCAAAAAGCCGATAAGCCAGACACAGTTTCCATTGACAGATTAAAACCCGCGCATTTTGATACACCTCCATCACCAACCACACCGACACCATCACCATCCACGGACACACCACCAACAATTCCTGTTGATAATCCAAACTCTATCATCACACCAGACACTACACCACACCCGCCAGCACCACCACAGCAAAAACCCACCCTGGTAACCCGCCGTTCCGGCAGAAACGTTCGACATCCTGTCAGATTTCAAGACTTTGTTAGTTGACGTTTTCTTTCGCTAACCGTTTCCTCTTTCTATTTTTCTATCGAGCGTTTATTTTGTACAACAAACGCTCTGGCGGGGGAGTTGTGTAGGTACCTGTACATTTCCGATTTTTTCCATGATCTTCAACGTCCCTTGGTGCGACACTCCTTTGTTGTACCGACGTTTTAATGTAAAAAACACACACCTTTTGGTCGTCACCACCGCGCAATACAAAAGGCTGTAAATAAACCTTTAATTCTGGCACGGTCTCATCTTCTGGTTTGGAGTGTCTTGGAATCATATCGGTCGGAACTAACTGTGTGAAACAAAACATTTTAGAAGCTTCAACGGCGTTTCTTGGCACTTCGCTCATTACCATCCTGTTCTGTCCAACGGATGGCTGTCAGACCGAACTGAACTGAAGACATTGGCGGATATTGGCTCTTTGACGCTCATTTCCTGATCACAAGAACACTGAACAACTGTGAGTTTGAGTCACACCTATTGTTTCATTTTTATTCTTGATGTACATACCCTTTTGGCCTTTTTATCACCGCACGCTCCTCCGCCCATCTTAGTTTGCTAGTGTCGTCTTAGATATTGTTGACAATAATTTAGTGTACCACATAGACAGAGTAGTACGCTACACCGTTCAAAAGCCAGTGACGGAAGGGTGCTATATCATGTAGTGTAGATGTTCAACAAACCGTTGAGAGCCAGCCCGGATAGCCTTGCGGTTAAGGTGATCGATTCACAATCGTTCACCCCGGGTTCGAGTCCCCGTGGGGGCTCGGTGGATCTGCATTGCTGATGATTCCCAACAAGGATGAAACAGCTGTACAGTGCTTCCATGGTTTTCAATGGTGAGTTTAGCGTTCAGGGTGCATGATCAATCATATTATATACAAATCTAATCTCCTACTACTCAATTGCATGCATAGTAACGAAGCTCTGTAGGTTGTTCATAACGGAATGCCTTCGTTGTACTTAGGCCCCTACAGAGAAGTCATCCATCATAGGAGTCGATCGCTGTGTGGGAAGCGGGTTGTTACCGTTCAAAAGCCAGTGACGGAAGGGTGCTATATCATGTAGTGTAGATGTTCAACAAACCGTTGAGAGCCATCCCGGATAGCCTTGCGGTTAAGGTGTTCGATTCACAATCGTTCACTCCGGGTTCGAGTCCCCGTGGGGGCTCGGTGGATGTGTACTGCTGATGATTCCCAACAAGGATGAAACAGCTGTACAGTGCTTCCATGGTTTTCAATGGTGAGTTGAGCGTTCAGGGTGCATGATGAATCATATTATATACAAATCTAATCTCCTACTACTCAATTGCATGCATAGTAACCAAGCTCTGTAGGTTGTTCATAACGGAATGCCTTCGTTGTACTTAGGCCCCTACAGAGAAGTCATCCATCATAGGAGTCGATCGCTGTGTGGGAAGCGGGTTGTTACCGTTCAAAAGCCAGTGACGGAAGGGTGCTATATCATGTAGTGTAGATGTTCAACAAACCGTTGAGAGCCATCCCGGATAGCCTTGCGGTTAAGGTGTTCGATTCACAATCGTTCACCCCGGGTTCGAGTCCCCGTGGGGGCTCGGTGGATGTGCACTGCTGATGATTCCCAACAAGGATGAAACAGCTGTACAGTGCTTCCATGGTTTTCAATGGTGAGTTGAGCGTTCAGGGTGCATGATCAATCATATTATATACAAATCTAATCTCCTACTACTCAATTGCAAATAGTAACCAAGCTCTGTAGGTTGTTCATAACGGAATGCCTTCGTTGTACTTAGGCCCCTACAGAGAAGTCATCCATCATAGGAGTCGATCGCTGTGTGGGAAGCGGGTTGTTACCGTTCAAAAGCCAGTGACGGAAGGGTGCTATATCATGTAGTGTAGATGTTCAACAAACCGTTGAGAGCCAGCCCGGATAGCCTTGCGTTTAAGGTGTTCGATTCACAATCGTTCACCCGAGTTCGTGTCGCCATGGGGGCTCGGTGGATGTGCACTGCTGATGATTCCCAACAAGGATGAAACAGCTGTACAGTGCTTCCATGGTTTTCAATGGTGACTTGAGCGTTCAGGGTGCATGATGAATCATATTATATACAAATCTAATCTCCTACTACTCAATTGCATGCATAGTAACCAAGCTCTGTAGGTTGTTCATAACGGAATGCCTTCGTTGTACTTAGGCCCCTACAGAGAAGTCATCCATCATAGGAGTCGATCGCTGTGTGGGAAGCGGGTTGTTACCGTTCAAAAGCCAGTGACGGAAGGGTGCAATAGCATGTAGTGTAGATGTTCAACAAACCGTTGAGAGCCAGCCCGGATAGCCTTGCGGTTAAGGTGTTCGATTCACAATCGTTCACCCCGGGTTCGGGTTCCCGTGGGGGCTCGGTGGATGTGCACTGCTGATGATTCCCAACAAGGATGAAACAGCTGTACAGTGCTTCCATGGTTTTCAATGGTGAGTTGAGCGTTCAGGGTGCATGATGAATCATATTATATACAAATCTAATCTCCTACTACTCAATTGCATGCATAGTAACCAAGCTCTGTAGGTTGTTCATAACGGAATGCCTTCGTTGTACTTAGGCCCCTACAGAGAAGTCATCCATCATAGGAGTCGATCGCTGTGTGGGAAGCGGGTTGTTACCGTTCAAAAGCCAGTGACGGAAGGGTGCTATATCATGTAGTGTAGATGTTCAACAAACCGTTGAGAGCCATCCCGGATAGCCTTGCGGTTAAGGTGTTCGATTCACAATCGTTCACCCCGGGTTCGAGTCCCCGTGGGGGCTCGTTGGATGTGCACTGCTGATGATTCCCAACAAGGATGAAACAGCTGTACAGTGCTTCCATGGTTTTCAATGGTGAGTTGAGCGTGCAGGGTGCATGATGAATCATATTATATACAAATCTAATCTCCCAATACTCAATTGCATGCATAGTAACCAAGCTCTGTAGGTTGTTCATAACGGAATGCCTTCGTTGTACTTAGGCCCCTACAGAGAAGTCATCCATCATAGGAGTCGATCGCTGTGTGGGAAGCGGGTTGTTGCCGTTCAAAAGCCAGTGACGGAAGGGTGCTATATCATGTAGTGTAGATGTTCAACAAACCGTTGAGAGCCATCCCGGATAGCCTTGCGGTTAAGGTGTTCGATTCACAATCGTTCACCCCGGGTTCGAGTTCCCGTGGGGGCTCGGTGGATGTGCACTGCTGATGATTCCCAACAAGGATGAAACAGCTGTACAGTGCTTCCATGGTTTTCAATGGTGAGTTGAGCGTTCAGGGTGCATGATGAATCATATTATATACAAATCTAATCTCCTACTACTCAATTGCAAATAGTAACCAAGCTCTGTAGGTTGTTCATAACGGAATGCCTTCGTTGTACTTAGGCCCCTACAGAGAAGTCATCCATCATAGGGGTCGATCGCTGTGTGGGAAGCGGGTTGTTACCGTTCAAAAGCCAGTGACGGAAGGGTGCTATATCATGTAGTGTAGATGTTCAACAAACCGTTGAGAGCCATCCCGGATAGCCTTGCGGTTAAGGTGTTCGATTCACAATCGTTCACCCCGGGTTCGAGTCCCCGTGGGGGCTCGGTGGATGTGCACTGCTGATGATTCCCAACAAGGATGAAACAGCTGTACAGTGCTTCCATGGTTTTCAATGGTGAGTTGAGCGTGCAGGGTGCATGATGAATCATATTATATACAAATCTAATCTCCTACTACTCAATTGCATGCATAGTAACCAAGCTCTGTAGGTTGTTCATAACGGAATGCCTTCGTTGTACTTAGGTCCCTACAGAGAAGTCATCCATCATAGGAGTCGATCGCTGTGTGGGAAGCGGGTTGTTACCGTTCAAAAGCCAGTGACGGAAGGGTGCTATATCATGTAGTGTAGATGTTCAACAAACCGTTGAGAGCCATCCCGGATAGCCTTGCGGTTAAGGTGTTCGATTCACAATCGTTCACCCCGGGTTCGAGTCTTCGTGGGGGCTCGGTTGATGTGCACTGCTGATGATTCCCAACAAGGATGAAACAGCTGTACAGTGCTTCCATGGTTTTCAATGGTGAGTTGAGCGTTCAGGGTGCATGATGAATCATATTATATACAAATCTAATCTCCTACTACTCAATTGCATGCATAGTAACCAAGCTATGTAGGTTGTTCATAACGGAATGCCTTCGTTGTACTTAGGCCCCTACAGAGAAGTCATCCATCATAGGAGTCGATCGCTGCGTGTGAAGCGGGTTGTTACCGTTCAAAAGCCAGTGACGGAAGGGTGCTATATCATGTAGTGTAGATGTTCAACAAACCGTTGAGAGCCATCCCGGATAGCCTTGCGGTTAAGGTGTTCGATTCACAATCGTTCACCCCGGGTTCGGGTTCCCGTGGGGGCTCGGTGGATGTGCACTGCTGATGATTCCCAACAAGGATGAAACAGCTGTACAGTGCTTCCATGGTTTTCAATGGTGAGTTGAGCGTTCAGGGTGCATGATCAATCATATTATATACAAATCTAATCTCCTACTACTCAATTGCATGCATAGTAACCAAGCTCTGTAGGTTGTTCATAACGGAATGCCTTCGTTGTACTTAGGCCCCTACAGAGAAGTCATCCATCATAGGAGTCGATCGCTGTGTGTGAAGCGGGTTGTTACCGTTCAAAAGCCAGTGACGGAAGGGTGCTATATCATGTAGTGTAGATGTTCAACAAACCGTTGAGAGCCATCCCGGATAGCCTTGCGGTTAAGGTGTTCGATTCACAATCGTTCACCCCGGGTTCGAGTTCCCGTGGGGGCTCGGTGGATGTGCACTGCTGATGATTCCCAACAAGGATGAAACAGCTGTACAGTGCTTCCATGGTTTTCAATGGTGAGTTGAGCGTGCAGGGTGCATGATGAATCATATTATATACAAATCTAATCTCCTACTACTCAATTGCATGCATAGTAACCAAGCTCTGTAGGTTGTTCATAACGGAATGCCTTCGTTGTACTTAGGCCCC